CCAACTCCACCATTCCAGGTTTGCTACATGAATAGGACTGGTAGAGTGAACCTCTCCATGTGTGTAGAAAGTGGATTTATTAAAATGTCTCAAAAGCTGTGGCCCAGGTAGTCCAACAATGGCTGCCTACCAATGGAAATTTGAAGATTCCAGTAGTTGTTCAGTTCATCCAGCAGGGATATCTCATCTGACCTTCATCATATACCAAAATTCCAAATAAGTAGGCTCTAATGTTAGGAAAGGAATGAACTTGGTACCCAGATCTAGGTTAAGCACTCAAAGAGATTGAGAGATTCCTCCTTCAGTATCCTTTATATATGCAGACTGCCACCAGATGGTGTGAACCCTACTAAAGTTTTATCCTGTTCTTTATGAGTTTTGTTTTGGGATTTTCAACACAGCTCATGCGTGTTTAGCCCTAGACCTCATTCTGTGGCCCTGAGTGACTTCAAACTCAGAAAATCCACCTAGCTCTGCCTACTAAGTGCTGGGGTTAATCATTTGCTCTGCAACCAAGCAGATAAAGGTGGATCTCATCAACTTTTTCAATACAGGGTTTGTCTGTGTGGCCTTGGCTGTCTTGAACTAATTATGCCAGTCTGACCTATAGCTCAGAGAGATCTGCCTGCCTCTGCAGGTACTGGAGAAGTGAGGTTGGGCTGCAATAGTGAAATGCTGGAACTTTGTCAAGCAGCAATGGTCACCACATGGCCCACGTGATTATTTCATAACACGGCCTCATGTGCTATGGATGTGTATATAAGTAATTATTATTTGAAATTCCATGCTGCTTCGTGTCACCAACATTTTCCAATTGGGCACTTCATCTTGAAGGAATTTCTTCAAAGGGGATTATGCAGAGATTCTTTATAATGTCAGGGCAATGAAATTTATTAAAAACAAAACAGAAGCATCTGTTATATTTGTTTGTCTATACTGTGATTACAGGTTTTTAAACCATGAAAGTTCTCAGAGACCAGAAAGTCAACGTCATGGGGTCTCTTTTGGAATACAACTTGTGAAACAATAGATTCTAAAGTTCTCATTTCCCTGGAAATCTCATTGTGGGAAAACTCTTGTACTTCTCAAATGATTTTATATTTAAGAAACATTTACTTCTTATTAAACCAACTCACAGGATAAATAGGAACTGAGTTGTTATTTAAGCGATGGACAAAACTCATGATTTGGCTTCATTAGACTATTTAATTTTGCATAAATTGACTATCTACGCCTGTTAGGACACCAGGATGGATTATTTATAGTTTTTGTAGCTCATTAGTCAGCTGAATAAATATGATTTGATTTTCATTAATTTTTGACATTTCCCTTCACCTTGTGTTTTCTCTTCTTTTAAGAACAGTATTACTGTGACTCCATGTCTGACCTCCGAATTCACACTATGAACTGGGCTGTCTGACAACTCCAGAGTTGGGGTAGTCACTAGATAAACTGGTTCATTTAATTGGCTTCTGAGGGATAGTGACTCAGCCTCTAATGGTTATGGCAACCAGGAGCACAAGGAGGCTCTAGTCCTAAATCCAGTAACAGAAGAGGTAAACATTGAATCAGCCTTTCTGTCTTAAAGTCACTGTCTTCCAACTATGAGAAATATTATCCCTATCATTAGTTACTCTTCCTTCAAGGACGGGGAGGAAAGAGGGATTCTGCAAAACCTTTCTCTCTCTCTCCTCTCTCTCTCTCTCTCTCTCTCTCTCTCTCTCTCTCTCTCTCTCTCTCTCTGGGATTCTGACAGGGTCAGAAGGGCACAGATTGCACATTCTGGAGCAGGAATGCCTCGAAGGCTCATTTTTTTATTATCTGTGTAAGTTGTTCCCCAATAAAACACCCATTAATCATTTATATTGGGTCCAGTGAACTCATTGACACCCGTCTTCACTTGAAAAAAAACTTTATTGAAAATGAACACAAATATGAAGTTTAAAGTCTCTACCAAATTGTTTACATGAAAAGGGATTTCTCTTCCATGATTTGTTCCCAATTACCTAACATAAAGATTTTACAAAAAGGGTTTAAAAACAGAAAGGGTTTAGAGATGTGGGTGAGCAAAATTATTACAAGTTCATTACCAGGAGCTACATCAGGGTTTTGAGGAATTTCTGTAGTCTCTGCTCCAGAAAAACCTGAGGATCTACCCTTCTTGGGAACATGCATGACCCATCACAAACCGAAACACTGACATCACATAATTAAATTCAATCCATTCTCTACTCAAATAGATTTTCACAGTAGAATTTCTCTAGTACACACTCATTCCCATATCCCAGGGGTTGAGGCATTTATAGTCTTAACAGTTTCCCTTCATCATGTATTTGTTCATGAAAACAGAAAGCAAGCACATACAATTCAACTTAGAGAAATGAAGTGATCTGAGTAAGGTTTTTTATGCAAGTAGAGAAAAGCGTGAAAACAAAAAGTGTTACCTTATCAGTTAACTTGTGGGACTTTTGTACATATGAGTTTGCAGTTGCAAACACAACAGAGAAATCACACTTCTTGAACAGATTGTTGACACTTGTCAGATATTTTTCCCTACAGAACCGTCTGTAACTAATTGTGTGTTCATTGAAGATATTACCAAATCCTTTAAACCAAGATTTCCTTCAGTTTTAAAATTTTCAGGACCTAACAGATTATTCAGTAACACAGGGTGCACAGCTTTACCACCCTGCTTACAATTAAGGGGTTTCTCTATAGTGTGATTCCTTACAAAGGTTTTACCTCATCAGGTTCCTTTCACAGGGTTGGTCTTGGGTATGTCTTCTTTTGTGATATTGAAGATTCCCAGCATGTGCATAGGCTTTACTGCAATGATTACATTCATACAATTTCTCTCCAGTGTATATTCTTTTATGATATTTAAGACCACTGCTGTGTGAAAAGACTTTACCACATTGACTGCATTCATGTGGTTTCTGTCCAGTATGTGTTCTTTTGTGATACGTAAGAATACTGGCTTGTGAATAGGCTTTACCACATTGATTACATTCATACAGTTTCTCTCCATTGTGTGTTCTTTGATGTGCTTGAAGATGACTGTTCTGTTAAAAAGTTTTATCACATTGATTGCAATTGTAGGGTCTCTCTCCAGTGTGTGTTCTTTTATTTCTTTTAAGATCACTATGACTTAGAAAAGCTTTACCACAGTGATTACATTCATGGGGACTCTCTCCAGTGTGTGTTCTTTGGTGTACTTTAATGTGACTGAGCTGTGAAAAAATTTTACCACATTGTTTGCAGCTGTGAGGTTTCTCTCCAGTGTGCACTTTTTATGTCTTCTAAGAACACTGTGAGTTACAAAAACTTTACCACAGTGATTACATGCATAGGGTTTCTTTCCAGTATGTGTTATTTTATGTCTTTTACGTCTCTATGACTTACAAAAGCTTTACCACAGTGATTACATTCATGGGGTTCCTCTCCAGTGTGTGTTCTTTGGTGTACTTTAAGGTGACTGAGCTGTGAAAAATTTTTACCACATTGTTTGCAGCTATGAGGTGTCTCTCCAGTGCATGCTCTTTTATGATATTGAAGACCACTGTCATGAAAAAAAGCTTTACTACATTGACTGCATTCATAGGCTTTGTCTCTAAAATGTGTTGTTTCATGACTTATGATACTGATGTGTTGTGAGAAAGCTTTACCACATTGATTATATTCATGAGCTGTCTCTCGATCACCTGCTATTTTATGGAGTTTGAGACAACTGTGACATGCAAGGACTCCACCATTTTGAAGAACTTCATATGGTTTCCCTTCAGGATGAATGTTTTCATGTCTTTGAAGATGCCTGCAACACAAAAAGGTTTTAACACATTGAGTGTATTCAAAGAGTTTTCTGTCCTGGATGGGATCTATCATTCATACAAAGATAATTGGCATATGTAAAAGCTTTACCACTTCCATTATACTAATGAACCGTGGTGTCTATACACATTTAGTTTAAATTTTTGCCTAATCGCAGAGATGAATCAGTTCTTATGTTTTACATTCATGATGCTTCCATTCATGAGGGGTTGCTTTGTGGCTATGAAGATCCCTGTGAAAGAGAGTTAGAGCCTTTATTTCATGGCCCACATCTATGGCATCTTATTTATGAGAGATTTTTCACATATTCGAGAAGAAATAGATGAACTCAGAGCATCATCATACTTAGTGCCTTCATAAGTTTTCCTGTATTTTGAATAACATTTCATTGGCTGAATGTACCAGGACAAATTAACATATTCACATATTCCAGGAGTCAGAGGGCCTTTCTGGAGTGTGAGTTCATTGATGTCTTCCCAAGGAATCCAATTAATTGTAATCTTTTATCACATTTACCACTGATACTCAAGCTGGGGAACTGCTAAACAACATTCATATTTTCTTGTTGCCCCAAGAGTGAGGGGAGCCACATTGCTTCTTTCCATATTCTATGCTCACATAGCTTGTATTTAAAGTGATATGTGATATTCATTATTTCATGTTTTTTTTGAGAGAGGATTCTCTGTGTAGCTATGGATTCTGTCCTAGAATGCACTCTGTAGACCAGGCTGGCCTCCAACTCACAAAAATACAGCCACTTATTCCTCCTTTGTGGTTGAATTATAGGTATGCACTACCACAGCCCTGTTGGACAATATACTCTTACTAAAGGAATGATAACAAGTAAATTGTTTTTACAATTCATTCCCACAATCTGGCTTTCTTTTCCTCAGAGAAGGTCATATAGGGATTATGGTTCCTCCAAAACAACCTTCTTGACTCTCATATTCTGACCCTTTCAATATACTTAGCAAACTCACAAATATATTAGTAATGACTGCTTCACTGTAGAATCTTTTTTCGTTAAAAGTTCTTGGACACAAACATATCATCTATTCAATATATATACTGTTTTAAAATATCTGAGAGGTATGAAACTAAAAGGATTGGCATTTCTACAGCACAGATCTCAATGGGGTGTAATACAAATTTGCATGAGCTTCACATGAAAACTACCTTCTATTTATTCTAGAACTCTCACAATGGTCTTCAATATTATGGTCTTCTGACTTGGAGCCTAAAATGCAACACCAGAAAATACATGAAATATCAAAGGAAATTGAATCAAATTTAAGTTAATATAGTCAATGAACACTAGAACAATGCATTATTATTTTGTTTCCCTTTTCTCAATCAAAATTACAGAAGAGTATCAACATCAATGAAACAGACTTCCCCTTATTTTAAATCATGAAGGAAAATTCAGTCTCACCTATGGCAGAGAGGTTCCTGTAGGTCTCCAGCATCACATGTTTGTAGAGACTTTTCTGGGAAGGATTCAGCAAAGCCCACTTTTCCTGAGTGAAGCTGATGTACACATCATCATAGGTTACTGCATCCTAAAACAAACCACACATGTGTAACACAGGAAGTGTGATACATACATACACATATACATACATACATACATACATACATACATACACATACACACGTGTGAGTGTGTGTGTGTGAGATTGGGTGTGTGTTCAAATAATTCTGGTGCTTCCCACACTTATTCCATGACATGGACATTAAAATGTATTCACCCTGTGATTTTAGCAGGAAACCGTCTAGGAGGATCCCCTGCAACATTTCTTGGCTCTTTAAGTAGCATATAGACTTGAGAAAGAAATCCCAGTCAACAGACATAAAGGGAGAAGCAAGCCAGCAGACCAACACTGCTGAGAACACATCTGAGAAATTGTATGACAGGGCCAGCCTATGACAGTAATACCCAAGTCCCTGGTTCTAACCTCTATCTTTTATAGATTTTTATTGCTGTGAATAGACACCTGTGAAGAAAACATTTATTTGCGGTGTCTCACTTAAAATTTCAGAGCTTCACTTAATCATCATCATGGGAGGGGTCATGGCAGCTAGCAGACAGATGTGGAACTGATGGTGTTGAGTGGTTACATCCTGGGGCATGGAGGATTTGCCTAATCTGCGTCTTATTCTAAGTCAGCTTCTTAAAACGAATCACTTCTTTTTGAGGGATTTTTGATTCAGGGTTTCTCTGTGACTTTGGAGGCTGTCTTGTAGACGAGGCTGGCCTTGAACTCACAGAGATCCACCTGCCTCTTCCTCCTGATTGCTGGAATTAGAGAAGTGCACCATCAATGCCTGGCTGAGGAATTGCTTCTTGTATAAGACTTCCCAGCAGGAAACAGACTGAAAGAAGAAATTTCTAGGTATTCATCAGAACTTATCACACATTGGAACAAACTCAGGAGGTCACTCAATTGATGATGCACAATAAAACACCAGGTGACAACTATTTGAAACATAAAACACTGTTTTGTTAAGGACTTGCCTGATCAATCAAGGATTTCATTTAGGCCCTCAGGCAGAGAGGAGAGACATTCCTGGGAGAGCTACTGACAGCCTGGGGCCTAGGACTTCTGTGCTTTCCCTAATGGCCTGATGTGTTGATGATTAAACAGAGAGCCATTGGGTGTTGGTGTTATACACCTGTAATCCCAACACAACAGAGTCAGAGGCAGGCAGATTTCTGTAAGTTAGAGACCAGCCTGATCTACAAGAGCTTGTTTCAGGAGAGCCTCCAAAGCCACAGAGAAAGCCTGACTGAAAAAAAAAGAAAAGAAAAAGAAAAAACAACAGCTCTGTTCTGTGATGTGGGGATGGGCATTGGGCCTGTTTGTAAATCAGGGGTTTCTCATTTGTCAAGGTTTGGAGCCAAATGTCTGGACAATCCTGGAGAACAAATGCATATTTTAGCAACCTAACCTCTAACAGACCTGATTAGCATACCAGTTATCTTCGGGTTATTTGAGAGTCAAACCTTGCTCAGGTAAATTCTATTTTGCAGGATTTACCATTCCCTAAAAATTGGTAAATCCTTTATATCAACAATTCTACTCTTCAACATCACAGTTTAATAGTGCAATCCAACATGAGAATGCCATTACAGAGGTCTTTAGTGTCCCATGCTATAATCCCTGCCCTGGGGAGGCAGAGGCAGGCAGATCTCCATGAGTTTGGGGCTAGCCTGCTCTACAGAGCAATCTTCATGTCTGACTCCAAAGCTAAACAGAGAAATCCTGTCTCCAAAAAATAAAAAATAAAAAACAGGTGCTGGAGAGATGGCTCATCGGTTAAGAGCACTGACTTGCTCTTCCAGAGGTTATGAGTTCAATTCCCATTATCTACATGGTGGCTCACAACCATCCACAATGAGATATTGTGTGCACTTCTGGTGTGCAGACATACATGGAGGAAGGATGTTGTTTTCATAATAAATAAATAAATCATTAATATATATATATATGTATATATATATATATATATATATATATATATATATATAAATAGAAAGAGACAGGCACTGGTGGCGCATGCCTTTAATCCCAGCACTCTGGAGTCAGAGGCAGGAAGCTGTGACTTTGGAACTAGCCTGCTCTATAGAGCAACTTCCAGGGCAGTCTCTATAGAGAGAAATTCTGTCTCAAAATAACAAAAATAAATAAGTATTAAAAAAGAAAGAACATGAATGCTATTTACACCATCCACAAAATAAATTCCGAATTGATCTTACACCTAAATGTCAAATGTAAAGTACAGAGAATCTAGAAGACAATAGAGAAACTAAGTTGCTTCAAGTTTGACAATTTGCCTTCAGCATGCACCAAGAGCTCGTTGGTTTTGACTGCAAAGACATTTCTACACAAAGCCCCGAATGATTTTCACAGATGCAGCCCAGAGAGTGAATTATCCATATCCCAACACCAGGGCCTGGGGATTTGTTAGGATCCCATGGGACCTCACAGAGCACTGAATGTGGCTGCAGGTTCCCACCCAGCCTCCTTCCAGGAGGACCTGCTGCACTGTCTCCCATGCATCTGCATCTTGGGAGAGCATCCCCTCGCTCACCATGTTGTGGCTTCTGTGCTCATCTGGGCTCCTCTCACATCCCCTACAGCAGCACTCAAAGCACAGCAATCAATCCCCTGGTGCCTGTCCTGCTATATATCCAAGCCTGCAGCATGGCTCCAGAAGTGTTCTGACAGACCTGTGACTGGCAGGTTATTCTTGTGTCCCTGATTGGCTGGTGAGGCTTGAGTGACAAGAGCACTTCCCTAAGGGTGAGAGTGTGCTTAAAGACACACCACAGGGGTCCCTAGCCCTGGACACACACTTCAATATCACTCACCCCTGTCTCCACGAGATGAACTAGCTCTCCTCCTGCAATTCACAGGTTCATCCTCTTCCTCCTCCTCCACACCACATGCCGACCTTGCACAGACCATGACACAGTGTGGACTGGAATGATTCTCTCATTCACCAGATGGAAGGGAGCCCAGGGTATTAAAAATAGAGATTTTTATGACACAGAGGAATATGTTTGTTCTGAACATTGGTAGCACATGCCTTTAATACCAGCACTTGGGAGGCAGAGGCAGGTGGATCTCTGTGAGTTCCAGGCCAACCTTGTCAACAAGTGTTTGTTGTATGACAACCTCCAAAGCCACTGAGAAACCCTGTGTATAAAAACAAAGAAGAAGGAGATGAAGAAGAAGAAGAAGAAGAAGAAGAAGAAGAAGAAGAAGAAGAAGAAGGAAGAGGAGGAGGAGGAAGGGGAGGAGGAGGAGAAGGCAGAGGAGGTGGAGAAGAAGGAGGAGGAGGAGGTCAGGAGAACTGACTCTACTTTTTACCCAGTAGTCAAAGGCACCTCAGACAAGCATGAGGGAAATTCAGGAACAAAACCACAAACAAGATGATATATCTTTCTCCTGCCAGAAGACTGTCCATTACATTGGGAGTTTTATCCCTAAAATTCAGGTCAAATTTTGAGAAATGTATAATAATAAAAAGTGTAGTCTTTGCTAGGTATTGGTGTCACGTGCCTTTAATCCCAGCATTGGGGAGGTGGAGGCAGGTGGATTGCTATGAATTCAACACCAGCCTGGTCTACAGACTGAATTCCAGGACAGCCTCCAAAACCTTGTCTTGTAAAACCAAAGAAAAAAAATAAGATGTTTGTTCTGCGGCCTCTGACTGAGTTCAGGAGAACTGAGAAAAGAATAAAAATGAAAAGTATAGTATTCTTGGTAAGTTGAAAACTCAGAGAGAATGGGGCTAGGAAGAATACCTTCTAGAGCACTATGCTGAGCAGCACATCTTCCTCAGTGGATGGGTAAGAAACTTCTTGCATCACCCAGTGTTCTCTGCTTAAACAGGATTGGTAGAATGAGTCTCTCTGTGTTTGTAGAAAGTGGATTTATTAGGATGTCTCACAGGCTGTGGCCCAGCTGGTCCAACAATGGCTGTGTGTAGCAATGGAAATTGAAGAGTCCAGTAGTTGTTTGGTGTCTGTGTCTGGATGTCTCAGGTGTTGTTCTGCGTACACGAATATTTCAACGAATTAGGCTCTACAGCTATGAAAGGAATAAACTCAGTAGCCAGAGCCAGGGTGAGCAGGCAAAGAGAGAGAGCTCTCCTTCTTCAATTTCCCTTATTTATGTACACTGTCACGAAAAGGTGTGACCAGATTATAGATGGATTTTTTCTCATCATTAATTTTTATTTTTCTATGTAGACTTTCATCACATTCTGTAGAGCAGGCAGGCATCAGACTCAGGAAATCCAACTGCTCCTGCCTCCTGAGTGCTGGGATTAAAGCTGTGCATCAACACCAAGTTGGTAAAGGGGGATTTTATCACCTCCAAGATCTAGGTTAAAGACATGTGTTTACATTTTAAAACCCTGCTGGTAGATGGTGACAGATGCCCTAAATACCAATTTTCTGTTGCATGTCATATATTTTCTGGTGTTGTAATTTAGGCTATAGTTGGGAAGATCATAATATTGAAGAACATTATCAGAGTTCTAGAAGGCTTATGAGGAAATTTTCATGGGCAAATTTATGTAAATTTGACTCTGAAGAAAATGTAATGGGTACTGGAAGTTGTACAGAAAAGCAACAGTGTAAATAAGCACAGCTTAACATTTCCTGATGATTTTTAATTTGTCATAAAATCATCTACCTCTGTGTCAGGTAGATATTATGTGTTTGCAAGGTATGCCTGTGAAAAATAAAGACAAGGAAACAATGTGTAAACAGTTACCAGCATTTGAATGATAACACCATGAGAGCTATGCTGTAGACATGCCAAACTATTTCTTTTTATGCCAGTCAGATATTTTAAGTGTTATAATCTCTGAGTAAGAGATAAGTGTATGTTCAAGACCCTCTAAGTAATAACAGTCCATAGTGAAACTGTCATGACTCATATACTC